ATATAATTATAATTTATGACTATCTGAATATAATGTAACGTTATTATCGGAATGAAATATGACTATATAAATATAAATATAATATACTAAAATTTATTTGTCAGCTCGGTCAGATCCAGCTTCCTAATACCTTCCTAATAGCCTTAAGGGATGATGATGACCTTAGTGATGTATTGAGCTTAGACCACAAGTATGGTCCAAAATACCTAAGACTGTATTTAACTGTAATATAACTAGTAATAGAAAAATCTGTGTTCCTTAGATTATACTTATGAGATGGAGAATTAAATAGATCAATCATAGTTTGAGGTAGCAGTCTGTTTTTGATCTTGTACATGAATACTGCAATGTTCTGTAGCCTTCTATTGTACAGAGTGGTGAGCTTTGCTCTCTTCAATAGTTCTTCATAGGATGATTCGTAGTCGCAGTAAACAGCCCTTAATCCTCTATGATTAATGCGTTCTAATTTGCTTCTGTCACTGGCTTTGCAAAAATGCCAGACCAAGCTGCAGTAGTTGAAGTGTGGTAAGATTGCAGACTTGTAAATCTGTAGTTTTGCATGGATGGGTATTAACTTGCGTAGTCTCGTTAGGATTCCTACCTTCTTGCTTGTTGTGGTGCAAATAGCTGATATATGGTCAGTGAAAATTAAATCCTTGTCCAAGATGACTCCTAACAACTTGAATTTGTCTTCTTGAACTGTGCTTATGTTATCTATAACTGTATCTCTTATGTAATAGTTTGGCATTTATTGATAGTTTTGCACTCATTGATAGTTTGGCATTCAAGGTTTTCAAATCGTGTTCGTGGAACAGTTAACAATTAAGTTCGGCTCATGTAATAAGGTTCAACGTTTGCCTTAGCCTAACTAGTCGAGTTTTTTTCCTGTTTTTGTCGCGTGGCTTTGAGGGAAAGAAAGACTGCGGTTACCAATCTACTTCAGCCTACTTCAGCCTACTTGAATTATTATAGTGTAGCATGTTCCATTCTTTACCATTTTCATAATATTTTTGTCTAAAAATTCACCTTTTTAGAGTTTTTCCCTTTTTTCCTTTACTTTAGGAAATTTATAGGAGCAAACTACCTCCAACCTCAATTCAGCAACAGAAGCTTCGTGTGTGTGAAGTGTGTGCTGCTTACCTAAGTCTTTATGATAATGATAGAAGGTAAGTCTTTTAAAAAGAGCTATTAATACAGTCCTTTGACTAAACGTTGTCGTTGATCGGATCATCCCTACGCGCCTAGACGGAAAAGGATAACGGCTGAATTACCCAGAACTTGCATCATCCAAACTGCTCGCCAGCGTTAAATCTTCGCCGTATGCTCGAGGCATAGTTTTAGCAAATTCAATTGGATCGAAAAAAGCGAGCTCAAGACGTGTTAGATAACAGATGCGGCAGCTAGTATCTGTGAATTAATTATCCCCATGATCCTTTTCTGTCTAGGCGCGTAGGGATGAAGCCGATCAAACGACAACGTTTAGTCAAAGGACTGTATATCAAACACGTGAAAGACTTTTTCATCCGAATTCCAATCCAGTTTGGATTGAATATATTACACATCAAGATATTTTCAGTTGGTAAATATTCAAACATTCTGGCCCCATCTAAAGATCTGCTATTATTACGAATAACGCCAAATGAGTCGTGTCCTGAGGTCACGGTGTGGATGATATATTATATATTTTTTGTGTGATATTTATTTATTTTTTTACATTTTTTTTTGGCCCTATTGTATATATATATATACAATATATATATACAATAGGGGTTTAGGGGTGTGCCCACTGAGAAGTGAGTTGAAGAAAACAGTTGGAGCCGATTTTTTTAACCAACTTCGAGGTGATTTTTCGAAAAATCAAGGTTTTAGGCAAAAATTCATGTACAATGTACAATCAATGTACTGGATTCGTTGAGTTTAAAAATAGTGTAAAATTTACACACTCCCGTCATCGCTTCCACAGAATCTGGCAAAGTGTTTTAATAAAACAGTATACCCAAATATCGGTGAAATTTAAAGGGTTTTTTGTGGGTAAAAGTCGATAGCGTCCATGTTTAGGTTTTGTAAACGAGCGCAACAAAAGTGCAGGTCTTTCGCTTAATCACAGTGCCCCATGTAGAGGAATTCGACAAACTTTGATTTTAAAGCAAATTAAATTGTACGGGAATTTTCGATGCTATTTTTGAAAATAGTTCACTAAAGGAGTTTGATTGGTAAAATAAAAAGAATTCGATTTTTCGTGACTATCCGGCGATTCTTGGTATTAACAGACAGCGGCTCTTAATAATTCTTGGAGAATTTAAAGCATAAGGTGCCCACAGAGGTGCCCAGCAAATTGTATGCAAATAAAAGCCTTTTATCATATTTCCAAACTTAGTTATTTTTACTTTGTTTTGTCATCATGAATATTATGAACTAGACGCAAACCTGCGTGAACTCGGGCTTCATGAAAGAAAACTCTGCTAGTTTGGAATGTGCGAAGACTGAGAGTAGGAGCATAAGTGCGTGAATAACCGCCGTTTGATTACTACGCAGACACCCCAGACAAAAATCTGGTCATGTAGTTTGCAATAGATAATTCTCCGTCTGTAGTACCATCATGTAGACCTAAAGCTACCTCCTACTCCACAATCATCAACTGTTGTTGGTAACTCTTGTGGTGTTATGTAATGATTTAAATAGATTAGCATAATAATGCACATCTTGATCTTGATCTGTTGTGACTAAAGTTTTTGAGTGAATTAATTAAAAATGGAAAACTCCCGAAATCCTCCAAAAATATTCTAGCACGAATTTAGCTGTTTGTAATATGAGTATATTTACTAAAGTAGAGTCTACGTTGCCTAAAGTAAACATTCTACTACTAGAACTTGACTTAACATGTCTATAATTATGATAAACATACTGGGAATAACGAGATCTGGTGTTTTTTGTAATATTTATTGTCACTTCTACATCATTACATACATATACAGTCAAATTATTAGTTTTCTGTAAGATATCACAGTCACTAAACGATGAAATACTAATAACATTGTGAACATAAACGTCAATGCATGAAATACTGAAGTTAATAATTACATAAGCTAGCTAGTAAAGTAATAGCCGTTATTATCACCGAGATAGCAAAACAATGAAGTTTCAGCATAAAAAACATTGTAATAAGAACCAAAAAGAYAATCCATATATTTTCGAAACGATTAGAAAACATTACAGCACATTATGAGTCACATACCGGTGTGTTTACGCCTTCGCTTACGTATACAGTATTTCTTTTTCTTTGTTTATCAGCAAAGCCATGTGGAAATTCAGCATTTGAGTTCTTTGTAAGGTCAAAGTTTGGATAAGATTTATAAGTTGTTTCGCTATTTGTATAGCTAGATAGATTTTTCTCGATGAATAGTTCACGATAATTGGTTCTCGGGATAAATTGTTCACGATAAATTGGTCACTCGTAAATGTTCGCTCGTATGAAGGTGTTCTCTGGCATCATGCTCGCGGTCCAACCCGTCCCGAAAACGCTCGACATCTTTTAGTGTGGGTCTACCGCGAACGATGTGTGCGTTTGTTTGTGGTTTGAGCGCAGAAGACAGCAAAATTAGAGCCATTACTTGTAAATTTCAGTACTCATCGGTTTTGCAAACGTACTTGCATACGTCAGACCGAGACCCTAAGCACATGCTCAGTTGAGCGAAGTACGCATGCGTGTTTGATGTCTCAGGCGTCCCTAACTGGCGCATGTCTGCTTTTTGTAGACGAACATGGAAAATACGACGAATAATAACGGGCGTTTTACAACTCGGGCCTTTCTTCGGAAAGAAGCCCGAGTAATTATTAATGAGTTTTATAATTCAAAGTAACATTTTCGTTTGATTTCATTTGTTTATTTGTTTTTTTGATAATAATTGTAGTCAGTAAGTAGATGTATATTGTTATTGTTTTAGGCTGGCAGATCACTTTGGTGGTAAGCTCCACATGGGATTCATTAAAATTCGTGATAGGCTGAAGGAGCTCCAGGTAAGTGGCTAAAAAATGAGACTTATTCGAGTCTTTTCTAACATTAAAGTGTATATCAAGGGAAAAAATTTGTTTTCAAAATCACTTGTATGTGACCAGTGTAGTAGTATGGTTGCAGTTTTTATTTATGAGGAGTTTTCTTTTAGGAGATATAAACATTCGAAATATCAATATGCAAATGAGATGACGTAAATTCAAGACTAATTTATTTTACAAAAATGCTGTTGTTGAAAGTACTGCTGTTTTTCTCATTTGCCAATCATCCTTATGACTGAAATATATGGCTTTGTACACTTTTAGGTTATTTCACTTCAGAACACTTGTCGTAAATCACACTGCAAAATGTAACCCATTCTTGAATTTACGTCATCTCATTTGCATATTGATATTTCAAATATTTATATCTCTGAAAAGAGAAGTCCACATACAAAAATACTGCAGCCATACTACTACACTGTTCACATATGAGTGATTTTGAAAATATAATTTTTCCCGCCTTAATATACACTTCAAGCCTTTTGTTGCTCACAAACCTATAGCCCCGTTTAAACTGGCGATTTTCAGAAATATGAAAATCCTTCATAAGAGACATTCGTCTAGGAAAATCTTGGTATCCTGAAAAAAACTTTATAAGTAAATTCTTTACCATTGTTTATTATGGACAAAATCGCAAAAAAATCGCAAAAAAATCGCTAGTATAAACGGGGCATATGCGATGCCATCTCTGATGTTTGCTTGTATGTTTTTTTTCCAGGAGGAAGTTGCCAAGAAAAGAGAAGCTAAAGAAAAAGAAAGAATACAAAGACGGGAAGAACGTGAAAAAGAGCGACGCGAACGCGAACGCAAATATAAAGAGGGCGGAGATCGTGATCGCAGAGACCGTGATCGTAATCGGGGTCGTGATCGTGAACGTAGTCGAGAAAGAAGAAGAAACGGAGAAAGACATAGAGATCGAGACAGGGAAAGGTGAGTCGCAAAGCACTGCCACGGGTAGCTTTTGCCAGGAAGATTTGCCGAAACAGGGAGAACGTGCTGTGACGTGTCCCTTTACATGATATGTTTTAGAGGCTTACAGCCTGTTATTACGGTGCACTTAGTCCCTGCTGGGTATCGCCTATTGTTGTAAATAGCCAATGAATTCTTTTAATGTCCTTTTATACGGCTAGTGTTACCTCAATTAAGCTGAGACTAGCTCGCATCCCAAAAATTTCTTTCCCATAGTTAATATATAACGAATCCGCTCTATTCAACGATCACCTCTATAAGCAGACTCCCACACTAGAATTTTCTGATTTCAAGCCAAGAAAGGCTTGGATTTAGCTTTTGTTTTTCCGGACAAAAGTCACATTCGCCACATGCAAGCAAGTATACAGTCCTTTGACTAAACGTTGTCGTTTGATCGGCTTCATCCCTACGCGCCTAGACCGAAAATGATCATGGGGATAATTAATTCACAGTTACTAGCTGACGCATACATGTTATCTAACACGTCTTGAGCTCGCTTTTTTCGATCCCATTTAATTTGCT